GATGAGGAAAGTCTTTGTCTTCTTAATGCTTATAGTCTACTGGAGGACCCAGAGATTTTTTAAAAAATAATTGAATTATATGGTATGTCAGATGGTGAGTAGTACCATGAGCAAAATAGGCAGGAAAGGGGATAGCAATACCAGGAGGAGGTGGGTTTACCATTTTTAAGGGGTTGACTGTAGAATGGCTTACTGTTACCTGAAGGAGCATAAGGGGTGAGCCATGTGGATATGTGGGAAAGAACATTCAAGCTGGAGGGAACAGCAAGTGCAAAGGCCCTGGGGCAGGAGCATGAGGGGGTGAGGTAGGGCCCTGTGCTGGCCCCTCACTGACCTCTGAGATCATGCCCCTCATTGGGTGCAGTCAACGAGTGTCCTGCTAGCACTTGCTACTGAATCCTACAGCTGATGAAATCTCTTGGCCCTGTTGGGTGCCCCACTGACCCTGCCCTTCATCTCAGCCAGATCTTCTGTCTGCTTCCTAGATTAAAGCTGTTCACACCACCCCTTATTGCCTCCTACACTGGGGTCTACTCTTGGCAGGTCCCTCAGGCTCTCAACTTGTCCCTGGTTTTCCTGTCTCTACCAGAGACAAAAGAACTTGGGGACCTTCTGGATCTATTTCATGCTACAGGAGAGCAGAGGGAGATGTTCCGCCACTTCCCTCAGCCATTTCTAATCCCCCTCCAGGCGGCACCATGATGTGCTCTGTCCATGCTGAAGATAAGAATTTCTCTCAAGAGCTAGCAATTTCCCTGAACTGTGCTCTGGAGACTAGGAGTAAGTGTCCCCTGTGCTCTGGCAATTTCTTCAGACCAATCTGGGTGTTCATAACAAAACCCCTTTGACTCTGCCTTTCTCTCATTATTTACCTCTGCTTTCCATGTGTTCGGGCCAACCAGCAGGCCGCTAGTGGGGCAGCAGGGGAAGGCCTTTGTCCCTAGCTTGTTGATGGCTCTGCCATCAGACTGGCAGATGGAAGGTGTGGATTCTAGTGGGGTTCTCAGACCTGCTGCAGAAGGTGGACTTCAACTTCCCAGTTCCCTCAAAATTATCAGAAGTTTTTCCCTTCTACTTCCTGTTGGATGTGGTGGTGGTAACAGAGCTCGAATGGAAGCTACTCTAGCCAGACCCACAGCTTACGGTGAGGTGGCACTGTCTGAATCCACCAGGCTCACCTGATGATACACAATGGAGCTCTTTGAAATTTGGAAATCCCTGAACTTTCTTGATAAATTTCGCTCTTAAAATTATTGCCTTGCGGGCCGG